GGCAAATCACAACTAAACATGCATGCTCTCTACAGGGTAAACCCACCAGGCTTGGACATGACATGGCAAGAACCCACAATTAATGAAAATGCAACAATGAAAATGCAAAATTACTATGTGTACACTGTAGATTTTTCAAAAAACAAATCATATGCAAATACAACATATTTCAACTGAAACATATAACTTTTTCAATTCAAAAACATTCAAACATGTTGTGGTGAGACTTGGTGACCAAAAAGTCACCGACACCACATTTTTCAGTCCTCGGAGAGCTTTACCAGCTAACCCTTAAGCTAAATGGTTAGCAAATCAGCTAACCACTTAGTAACCTAGGGTTTGTTGAAGTGGCTAACCTCTAACAAACAAGCTAAGAGGTTAGATAAACGATATAAAGTTTATAGAGGTTAGCCTCAAACCTAGAAGTGGTTAGAGAGGTTATAAACCATTACTAGAAGTTATAACCTACTTACTAGAGCTTATAACTAGCTTATTGGAACTTATCTAACCATTTATAACTCTTCTAACCAATAAGATCTTCGCGGGACATCCCAGTGAGGAAGCGTCTGGCAGAGGCAGAGGCCACGGCTATCCGCCGCCTCCTGCAACTTCAGCAACCGCGCCTCGCGCGGAAGAAGAAGACGCAGAAGCTGCACCAAGCGGTGGTCGACTAGGGCCCCCCAACCTTCGGGGAGCCACCTCCTCCCATGACTCCGGATGATGATTCCCTGCCTACGCGGGATCGCTACTTGGAGTTGTGGCAAGATACCAATCACGTGTTTGGTCAACAAATGTGTGACCCACTCACGTTAACGCCACCCGGTTTGCCCCAGAATCTGGAGGTCGGCCTCGACTTTGATCAAGTCTTAGACGCTATGTTAGTCCCTAGGTTAGAGGTCCCGACTCGCCAATGCATCGATGCCCTCATCTCCCTCGAACGACTTGGTGCCAGGATCACCATCATTATATCATTCACGGGACATGAAGGCTATTTGCGTGCTGCTTCCCAGACGTAGCATTTTCGTGACTGCGTTCGCGCGGCGGGGCTCCGAATGGGAGGAGGGATATTTTTGACCAACGCCCGAACAGGACCAGAGGGCAAGACCCCAATCATCTCAACCAACGGCATCTGCGCGTATGTAGATGACGACTCAGCCATTTGCAACGAGGTCAGACGCACAGGTTGCTACGCGTACCATTGCGATGCCTCGCGCCTTAACCAGCCGCATTCGGTTCTCCTCGATCTTGCGAATATGATAAGATCAAGAGGCATCCACAACTGGAAGCTGGCGCACCATCCTAAGGCGTTGCAAGCTGGCGAGTTCTCAGGCGATCCCAAACCACACGGAGGAGGTCGCCGGAGGCCAAGGGTCAGGTAACCGTCCTGCAAGCCAGAAACCGCTGCTTAGCGCGGTCACTCTTCGTTCGTAGGACCATTTGTTAGGTTGAGTGCATTGAAACTTTAATCTCAATATCCTCAAGGCAACTCAGTTGAACGTTAGGTCATGCATTCAATCTCATTTCAGTGCACTCTGTCAGTCACCACGCAACAGCTGCCACAGTGCGCTGGAGTGGTCAAGACTCATCGTGTAGCGAGAAAATATAACTGCGCGCGCAGTTGGGTGGGAACCATGGCGAACCATACAGGGTTTTCCCCGCCTGATGATCCCCCAGGTGAACGGTCTAGGTCCTCCCCTGAAGAGGTTCCTTCTAGGCGTGGTAGAGGCACTTCGTCAACAGCCACCACACACGCCATGTCCGTCGTCACTTGCCTGAAGGGTTCGTCGCTCGCTGCGCCACCGGTCACGCGTCCCAGGACTACGACCACCATGGAGTCCTCGCCGTCCACTCCAGAGCAAAGGCCAGCCACTCGTCGAAGACGTTCCGGGTCGGGGAGAGCGTTGGAGGGTATTCGTGAACCTAGAAACGAACAACCTCCCATACAATGGATAGATCCCCAAACTGGTCGCCCACTACATAGGACCCCTAGTCCCCCTAACCGTAGTAGGCAAACCACTTATAGAGATCCGAACCGAGACATGCCGGCCGCTGCGTTCGTTGCTGGTGCTGCCATACAAAACGCACATAATGCATCCCTAATCGCTCAACAAGCGGCAACTGTTGCAGAGCAACAAACACTCGAGGCCAACCAGGCCAGGCACTATGCGTCGTTTGTTGAAGCCCAAGCAACACAAGCGCTACAACAAGCAGAAGCCACCTTGCTAGAGACTAGGGCTAAGGCTGAAGCATATGTAGCACAAGCCGAAGCTAATGTTCGTAACACACAACAACAAGCACAGGCTTTTGCCGCCTCCGTTGACCAGGAGAGAGAACAATATCAAGCCCAGTTGAACTCTAGAGCCCAGCAATGGGCCAGGGGGTTTGAAGCTGATGCAAGACATCGTGTCCAACAACTTCAACACCAAACTGAGCAATATATGTCAGCTCAACAGGACACCGTCCGTAACTTACAACAACATAATGCCGTATTAGAACAGCAACTGTTGGCAGAACGTTCACCGGTGCCCAACTCACCCAAGTCACCGATGACTCAAATCCCAACCGCCAGCCAAACCTCCACTCCCATAATGGCCTATGGCAAAGATCCCAATGAGGGGAACCCCTTTGCGGGTAGCATGCATTCTAGAGTTCCCACCGGGCCTAGTGCAACAAGACGCACAAGCATCTTTACCCCTTACTCTATAAGGATCCCTATAGGCCACGAGAGTATTATATTGGTTCAGTGCAGGGCACACCCCAGGGTAGTGTCGTGCTAGCTGGTGATCATGCAGGACAAGTTGCAAGCCTCGAGGCCCAAGTTTCCAGCCTCCAAGACACTGTAAAGTTGTTAGCTGGTCACTTGCAATCCCTGCTTAACGCCCCTAAGACCATGACCCCAATTGTCATGAGTCCGGGCCCATCCACACCTCTTCCTCCGCATGCAGCCGCCCCCGTACCGGGAACAGCTGCTATAGCGCTGATGGGTGATACGGGTGGAGTAACCGGCATTTCGAGTAGTTATTTAGCTGATATACCCGCCTCGTCCTCGGCGCCACCGGTTCCGGGCTTACGCATCCTGCCGCCCGCCTACCCAATGTTCGAGCGAGCCAAGCCGGGAGATGAGTCGCCAAGCTCGTCATCCTCATCAAGTTCCAGCGATGAAGGCGATAGTTCGCCTAGCCACTCGTGTAGAGTTTGTGGAGGTAACCATCCTGAGGTTGACTGTCCATTGTCTTGACCATGAACCGGGAGACCCCTCCTCCTCCCTCGTCTGTCGACCCAGCTGAAAGCGTCGATCCCGCAGAGCAGGAGTCAGACATCGTATACACGAAAGGCTTAAGTAATCTGGTCTTGCCAAATATCCCATCAGACTCCTGTCAAGCTAGGGGGTACATAAACCAAGTTCTCATGAACATCGGTTCCCTCCAGAAGTCTGCCGGTAATGACCTTTACATGTGGGCCCAAGAGTGCTTAACCAGGGAGGACTCCGATCTCTCCTCAGACAAGCGCTTCCCACGGACAGACCGGGAGATAGCCACCAAGATGTTAAAAGTTTGTAAAACTGGACGTTTTGGTATCATCTTTCAACGGATGGTTGAAGAATCCCGACTTGCCGGTAAAGGTATGCCATGCGGTAGAGTTATGCTTGCTACCATTTTCAGGCACTTCCAACTCGAGAAAGATCGAATTGGAATGTTAGGTGAACGTAACCTTCTCACGCTAAGGCTTAAAGGCAACAAGGTGGAGGATTTGATAAACTTTCAGGAGAAGTACCGGTACATAATGGCGGCCATCCCTGTTGATGACCTATACCCCGGGAAACCACATTGTTTAATCATCTCCTCGATGAGCTCGAGCAGTTCACACCATTGGCCAATAAGATAACTAAGTCCCGTGAGGCCCCAGCTGGTAGTCACCGTAGCACCACCAAATGGTTATGGGAGAAAGTCGACCTGTTCATCGAGCTGGAACGTGTCAAGGCCAATCGACATGCTTTCGATAAGAAGCTTCGTGATTCGCAAACAGCTGATTTGGCCACGACGTACAACCCCAAGTTGGTAACCGCGAACCCCGCGACAAAGGAAGGGAAGGAGCCCAAGCCTAAAAAAGGAACCTAAGCCTAAGAAGGAGAAGAAACCCAAGAAGGAAAAGGCTCCTAAGCAGGACACCACGACAGAGGTGCCCGCAGCTCCCCTCGGCAAAGGTAAGGCCACACCTAGAGGTCCTCCAAAACCGAAACCGAAGGGCCCTCCGACCGCCCCACGGTCGGAAGCCGTAGTTAAGGTGGCGGACATGACCGTGGCCCAAAAAGCCAAGACGCCCTGCGCATTAGTCGCTTTTAATTCATGTCGGGCTAAGAGCTGTCCTTTCCTACACGACACGAACAATAAAAATAAGGGGCCACCCCCCAAGTCTCTCCGATTCGCCACCACGAGGATCTAAGTGTGTGCTTTGCGCACTGTTGCTGCGAATGACGAGTGGGCATGTCTTTTGAATGAAATGGTCTTGTTTGCAGACTCAGCTGATCTGCAGCAGGCTGCAGTCATGGAAACCACTGGTTTTGCTACATGAGCACACTATATACCTGCACGCTCCACACTAAATAAAGAAGCTTAAATATAAGCTTCTATATGTGGTTCACACGCCTTTTTTTTTTGGGTAATATACGCACGCTCATGTCCATGCCCCATGTGGACCATCCAGACCCACGATGTTCCAGTTTGATTTATGTTGTTTTCATGTGTGGCTGACAGCGCCATCAGCCTTAAATGGTGCCCTCAGCCATTTTGGCAGCAACGCAGACGTCATGAGATGACACAGGTTCACTTGAGAAAGCGGGAACCACAGGAGGTAAGGTTTTGATATAGACATTTTTGTGTAGAACTAATTTCGCGCGCGTTCGCAACGTCTGTTGAGTCATTGAATTTTCTTCGAGGGCTTGCGCAGCACAGCCACCACGGTCTGCAATTTCTTCTTTAGGGGTGCAGGCGTCAGTTGCAATGTTTTTCGTGTTGCTGCGCCGCTGGTAGCGAGCGCTGCTGATTCTGGAGCACGTGCTTTCCTTGAATTCCTTGGCCCGCTTTCTTCCAGGTGCGCCCCGCCTCCCCCTTTCCTTGCACTGCTTTCCAAGCCGATCTTGAAAGTGTAAGGCATCGACTAGTGGCCCACGCGTACCGGGCATACCGATACTCTGCAGAGCTGTCTCTGAGTTTCATGCATTGTATGCATTGTCATTGCAGCCAGTTTTTTTGTCTTGCTACTGCCTCGCCATTTTGAAACATGGCCCTTGTCGAGCCTGAGCGTGATGCAGCGTTGGTTGGGGGTGAGAAGCCTTGGCGGTCATCTCGAGACACGCATTGATCAGTGGTATTTTTTGTGAGGTGGTTTGTCAGGTTTTCATGCAAAAAAACGGGTCAAGGGCTCACACAATGAATGTCCTGCGCTTTTAGGACCTGGTCGCGTTGCGTGGACGCATGATGATGTGAAGAAGGTGGCTTCCAGGATAGCTGCAAACCTTCCGCCTGCAATCCATGAGATTGTGAACTCAGGAGATTGGAAAGGTGGTCGACTTGTTTTCATGGATTCGGTGCTGACCAGGCCATCAGCAGCGGATGTCGCCACCAACTTCCACTACTTGAAAGCAATCCTGGAACACAGTCCAGACAAGGCCCATCTAATGGAGTTTGGAAAGCTTTACAGCGGGTCAAGTTTTAAGATTGAACTGACTGTCCTTCATAGTTGCTTTTCAGATTCACACGTCGCAGCTCTTGCCAGAGGTGCCTTCCGGATACTTCCTGACTGATGTCATCATGGCATTGGACGGCTTGTTTCATGGCAAGTTGTTGATCGATCCGGAGAAGAAAGTTGACAAGCTTCACCTGGCTGCTGAAGAAGGGGTGCGTCTGAAGCGCTTGTGTGGCGCGCTTCGAGCCTTGTGGAGGAGCTCTGAGACCGGAAACCACCCGAGGGTAACAGAACTGAAAGCTTTGCTTCAACCTTCTCCTCGAAAAGCTGCAGCTTGGTTTGTGCTTCCTGTTGGTTAACTTTTCAGATTTGTAGTGGTTCCCTTTTTTTCTGGTCAACATTTTCAGGGGGTCAGACATTTGGCAGCTGTGCACTCAGGCTGCCGCAGCGCAATCTCCAGATGCAGGTGCTGAAGACGCAGATGACGAGGAGGCTGCGGAGGAAGAGCCTGATCCCATGGAGGATGAGCAGGGCGCAGGTTCTGAGGTTGATGAGGACCTGGATGATGCAGAAGGTCCAGAGCCTTCTCAGGAGGCTGCTGCTGTGGAAGATGGGCCTGTTGAAGATGACGAATCTGACCATTTGTCATCAGACACCCTTCGGCTTGGAGGGCCATACCCTGACAAGGGCAAAGTCATTGTGAAGCAGAAGGCGGAGCCTGCAGAGAGTGACAGCGATGACTCCATGCATCGCTGCAGTCAGTTGCGGGGCCGCTGGATGGGCAAGGCTTACGAGGTCTTCCACAAGCTCGAGAAGGCTCAGCAGACAGTTGTGCCCATTGAGGATTTGTACTTGATGCTCACCAAAGGCGATGTTCTGGACCAGTGGGCAGGGACCTTCAGTATGCGAGACTTGGAGTCGCTCGCTGACACTTAATGGCCAGATGTTTTTGAAATATTTTTCACGCAAAGACTTTTCCAAAACATGTGGTTTCTGCCATTGATAGTTAAAAAGGAATGGAGGACTCCGCTACCATAACTTGCAACATACAAGTGGCGTCTCACAAAAGCCCTATAGTGCTTGACAGCAAGCAAACCAGTGCATTAGTCTTGAGTCACAGCCAAGGAATCCGATGTTCGAATCTTATTTGGACTACTGCCTCACACAGTACAGCAAACTCGGTCGCTCCCACAAAGCCAACAAAGAGCTGTGCTGTCTTGAGAACTGGCATTGGTGGCAGTCTTGTCAACTGTGTCAGGCAGGGTTGATTACAGCACTCTTGTTTTCCCACACTCTTATACATACCTCTATATATATATATTACTATGCAGTCCTATATATGTGTGAGCACTCCTTGATGAAAACCCTCGGCGAAAGCGGGTGTAAAAATGAATGAGATGTCCACACAATTGTCGGCGACTTTTCAACATAGCGTTCGTGCAGGCTGCATCGAGCTCACGTCCTGTGGCGCGTCCATTGGTCAAGCAAGAATTCCCTGGTGAAGTGCAAGAGGAAAGGGTTGGCTGAGTTTTGGTGGCTTGTTAAAAAGAGTGTCACGCCGCCCAAGATATCAAACAGTTTAACAAAACATTGTCATTATTCTTGGAAATATTTTGGATTGTTCTCTCAAGCTACCAAAAGTATAGTCATGCGGCAGGAGGTCTCTGGGTCTGACGAGATGTCCGATCACCTGCCTCTACATGGTAGGAGGGAGGTCCCTCGACTTGAATCTTTCGACAACGTCAAGGAGGAGCTGGTGGACGATGCCACAGTTCCAAACATGCAATGCAAAGTTGCTTTCCCATGTTTGGCAAGGGTTGTGTCTAACTGGTGCTAAACGCAACCAAGGTCCAAGAAGACCACAATGTTAACGCAGTTCTAGAACATAACTTTATACCTTAAAAAGGTGAAATGGGTTTCGAAAGTGGTTTAGAACAATCCACGAAAGGTTGAAAGGATACAAAAAGGAAAAGTGTTTGTTGTTTGTGTGTCCTTTCAACCTCTCCTGGTCCATGTGACCCTTGGCAACTCAGGCTCCCAAGAAGCGGAGCAAGAAGACCGACAAGTCCAACAAGGCTTCGATGGGCAACAAGTCCACCAAGGAGGTGAGCAAGAAACATGTCAAGAGCAAGGATCCACCACGACCCACATCCCGTTATGATGGTGGCAGTGTTTGGAATGGATATGACCTCCTTGCTTTGTGCATTCCTCGTGAAGCATGGCCCACCACAGCTCGGGAGAACAAGGGGAAACATGGGTACACGGTTTCATCTCCGACCAGCCATGCAGTGACTTCGAAATTAGCCAGAATTGTTTTTCTATATCTTTTCAAAAGGGCTTTTCGCACGTTGTGCACAAACATGTACTTATAATCTTGCAACATACTTGTAATGAACATCTTGCCAAGCCGTGACCCCAACGTCCACCGTGCTCTGAGGCCATTGAGGTCCTTTGTTCCAAAAGGGCATACGTGGTGAAGAAGGCAGGGTCAGATCCAGAGCAGCCTGACAAGGTGCAGCTTGGCCAACTGACTTGGTCCATGCACGATGGTCCAGTGGCTGCGTGGGAGTTGGCCAAGGAGAGGGCTAACTTCTGCTAGACCCCTCAACGCAGGAAGGTCGCTTTGTATGGGCATCTCACTTATAAAGTGCGATGATTATATCGATATAGGTCTTTGAGGGTTTCGATGCATGTGTGCGAAGCATAGGTTGTGGCCACGGAGCAACTGGCCAAAACGGCCTGGTACAGCATGCGCTTTGGGGTGCATACGTTTCATACCGTCCAAAGATTTGCATCAAGTGGAAGAAATGGTTTCGGCGCCTCTTGGGAAGCCTATGGGAATCAATCCATAGTCTTTTGTGGTGTGGGGGAAGCGATTGGGTTGAAATGTTGAAAGGTAAAAAACAAAGTCAAAGCGGGGACTGTCTCCTTCACGAGAAGTTGTGAGCAGTATGCCCACGCAGGTGAACCCAGCTTTTCCTGCGAGCTCTTCAACATCACCAGGACTCGGGGGTGTTGAATGTACCGCCCATCAAACTCCCTTTCTTTTTAGTTGAGCACTGGCCGCCATCATACCCATGCCTGGTAGGACCAATTGCAGCATTGGCTGTCCATCTTCCTCGAGGATTGGCCAACCGGAGTGTGGGAAGGTGTTGGAGAGGGCTGGAGGCTGTTGGATGTGAGCTTACTCTGTTCACGGTGACACAAACTCATGTGTATACCAAGTATTGTTGTTTTTGTTTTATGTACAAGTGTGTAGCACAAAGATGTGATCTTGGCGTGATTCACATTCAACTCAACGGAAGCCTTTTGGTTTGCAGTCGACTCTGTAAAGCCTGTGCCTCTACTATCAATCATGCCTCGCAGCAAATTTGAGCCCATGCCCTTCCGTGCTGAAGATGGGGACATTGAGATGAAACAGCGGGAGTCCATCAGAGACAAACAGCGCCGGTGGGTCCTCCAAGGGCTGAAGCACTTGAAAGCGCCAGCAGCGACTCATCTATATATCCATAGCATCCTCAGAGCAACGCTTGTGATTCTCCACTTTGTGTTTCCTGAAGTACACTTGCGTTTACAAATTCTTGCGCCCAAACCCTGGTAGTTCTGGACCCCATTGGTATGCGTAGGGTGGAAACAAGCTCCCCATCCAGCACTGCGGCAAGGTAATTTGCTTGCTGGCGAAGATGGTGTTTGCGTGTCAAGGATTGGATTTTGCACCTATCCAACACTTTGAAACATTTGCTGGCGCAATGTCAGTAACCAAGGCAGAGATGCAGGCAGGGTTACTCCTTAAAGGGTGTGGTATCCATGGAATTCAAAGGCACCAAAAAAATTCTAACAATATGAGAGCGCTCATGATCAGAAACCCCTATCAGGCTGGCAGAGCTGCCGTGCCCTTTGAGATCACACTTGATCCAGAGTCCCAAGACATATTGTCGCCGCAGGGCTTTGCGAACGCTGTCTATCAGACCCTCCGGCTAGAGCCAGGGACTGGAGCGCTTCATGCCCCGGTTTGTTCCACATGGATCTTTTTGCAGCTCGTTTGAAGACATGTTTAGCTTCACCCATGAGAACTCACTTTGAACTCACGAATCAAGGGGCCCTGTACTTTGGATTTGGTTTACCTTTCCAATGGTCCTTTCCCATAGCCATGAATAATCTCCCCATGTGCGCCCCTGAGGTCAAGGGGCTCTACACTTCGAAGCTCTACCCGACCGCTCGGTCGCACCGACTCCGAGAAGGTGCAGCAGGGGAACGTGATGACCGCGAGGGTAATGATTCTTCTCCTTCTTGCTGCCTCAAAGGCTTGCTGGTCCATTTTGGAGCAACCAGCCAGTAGCATCATGGAGCTTCACCCAACTTTCCAAAGGACCGCAAGACTTCTGGGGTTGCGAAAGCTCATGATAAAGATGTCTGACTTTGGCGGGGCAACCACTAAGGCTACAGCTCTTTACAGCAGTCCCTTTGACAGAATACACAGACTTATTCACCAAACGACCTTCAACAACCCAGGTGCACATACATCAAAGTCAAAAGAATTGAAAGGGTATATCTCTTCCAAAACTGTGTCCTTTCAGTTTTGCATCTTGGGTAACCCCTTGTGGTCAGTGTGTTCAACATGCATGACACTTTAGATTCTCAGGTCATGCTGAAATCGATGACCTACTAGATGAGAGACGTCCCAATCACAGGGCTCCGGAGTCCAGACCAGAGATGACTGTCCGCTACATCGATGGTTCTGGCAAAAAGCGGCGCAAAGGTGGGTCCGACCTCACTGCCTCTCAGCACTACCCAACATTGTTGCCCACACTCAGATATGAACAGTTTCTTTAGTTTTGAGCGCCAGTGACATATACTAAAAGATGTTTTACTTGGTCTGGACCGTTTGTGCGCATCAACACCATCGGCCCAACTGCCCAGGTTCGGCAAGGCTTTGTCCCGTGTGCGAACTAGGCACGCCAAGAGGTTGCGAGGCTCTGCCAACCGATTCCTGAAGCAGGCTGCCAAAACCCACAACCGTGTGGACAAGCGGGCGAGGGTCAATCAGCATTGGATGAAGCATGCTGACCTCTCCAGTGTGTTCACCTACTTGGCTGCTCTTGGGAAGTGAACCTTCCTTTATCTTTAGGTGCCACAATACATGTGGCACTCATGTTGCGCAAAGCGCAGCAATCCTTTTGGGCCTGAGCTAGCAATTAGACATGTGGTGTGATTTGTTCATTCCACCTGACTGCATAGTGCATAGGGGTTTGAAAGAGGGAAGAAAAGCTTCTGGTCGAGCATCACTCACCTAGACCCTCGGCTGGCACCATACCCCTGACTCCCTGACCATGCCCAGACAAGCTTCTCTGCAGTCTGCGTGCGACCCTCGCGATCCAGGAGTGATGGCCCAGCTTCGAGCTCTAAAGAGAGGAGTCCCTGCAAGGGCGGAAGGGGGGGGAGATTCACGTAAAGGAAACACTGGTCCCTGATTTTCCCCAACATTTTGGAAAAATACAAGCAGATTCACTCAAAGTGGAACGTGCGCCATGCAGCGAATCCACATGCGCTTTGTAGCGAATGAATGCGCACTGTATATGTCTCTAAAACAATTGATTCTGTGAACTGGTGTGCAGCAATTACTCACATTGTTTTGAATGGAAAGTTGCGAGAATTCACGTGCCTTTTGCATGCGAGAATTCAATTGCCGTTTGCAGTACACTCTTTATATCTTTATATATTTGAGCTCTCAATCAGCGTCCAACTCCCTGTCGATCCTTCTTCCGGCCTCGAGATCATGGGAAAGAAGACCGCTCGAGCTCCATCGGCGCCGTCGCATCGGTGCACCAGCAAGACGAAGCCTGAAGCAGCTGGGGTCCAGGTCAAGTCTTTCTCTCTCAAGGGCTCCAAGATTCAGGACAAGAACAAGGCAAAAGAAGATGAAAAAAAGAAGAAGAACAAGACCAAGGCTTTGGCTGAGCAAGCTTCAAGAAATGCTCGGGCAAAGACTCCGAAGGGTGAGAGTAGGAGTTCTAGCACTGCCAAAGCTGATGCTGCTCCCACACGGCCTTCTGCTTTGAGGCGGCCAAAAGATCCAAAAGAGCTCAAGTCAGCAAAGAGGGATTTGACCAAGGAATTGGAAAAGGCGGCTACAGAAGGAGGTGGGAAGAAAAGCTTGTCATCCATCAGGTCAAAGCTGGAGGAGCTCAAAGCTATGGAAGAGGCTGCAAGTGAGGGGACTGACTCAGACAGTGATGTGTCACTTACTGAGCAGCTCAATGGCATCTTGGGCAAGTCTGGGCCCGAAGCGCCTGATGATGATGATGACAGCGACAAAGACTCTGCGAGTCAAGATGAGGATGAGGACGACGAAGACCAAGAAGAAGACTCAGATGAACAGCCTGAAGAGGATGATGAGGGTGACGAAGAATCCAGTGGAGGGAGTGAAGAGGAAGAAGAAGGAGAAGAGGAAGAGGAAGAGGAAGTGAAGGAGAACAAGCTGAACAAGCGCTCAGAAGTTGTCCGATCTTCTTCCTCCAAGGGCACAAATGAGAAGAAGGACCAGAAGAAGAAGAAGCCGGCAAAGACCAATGAAGAGGGCAAGGGAAAGAAGAACAAGGATGTGAAGGATGAGACTCCAGAGACGTCTTTGGCTCTCGTCGCTAAGGAAACAGATGTTTGCACCGACATGGTGAGAAACAGTTCCTTGAATGACTTGGCCCTGAATCTTTCTCAGTTGGTATTGGGTCTAATTTCACATCCCTAATTTTGATTCTATCTCCCAATCGTTTCTGATCTCAGGCATGACCAACAAGCGGGAGTGGGACACCTTCAGCAGACAAATTCAGAGCAGGAAGGTCTTCCCTGTCGCCCTTTCCCAGTACGTTGCGAAGTGTAAGAACGATCTCTTCCAAGCATGGCTCGACGGTGGAAAGAAGTGGGACCAATGCCAGCTCATCATGGAAAGGCGACAAAAGTCTTCCAATGAAGCTTCTAGTGGTTGGATTGCAGTTGCAGGGAAGAAGCTTGTGGAAGAGATGGGGGAGGAGAAGGGGAAGCTGGTCATGGACCGCCGAACCAGGGCTGGCATGTTCTATGACAATGAGGATTTCCCCGACGACCCTATGGAGCGCATGTACTACATGCCCAAAGCTCGCGAAGTCACTCACAGGGAGACGACTGAGGACATGTCCAAAATGCAAGGCAAGTCTCACTGTGATGAGGACCTGCTCAAAGCCTTGACTGGAGAGGAGGGGGTCATGCGTGCAGGTGCCTTGCCAAACCTGCATGCCAAGAATGCTGCCGGCCAGAAGGCACTCCTGGATGGAATGACTGAATCTGGCGTACAAGCAGCGCCCAAAAGGAGAAAAGTGGAGGACGATAGTGAGAAGTCCAAGGAGGTGAAAGCAAAGACCCTCAAGGAGAAGGTGACTGACCTGATGGCAGCAGTCTTGGCTGAAAACATTGCAGCCAGGAAGAAGAGCATGTCACTGGGGGCTGTGAACTACGCTGGCGAGTTGGCCTCAAAGCTTCTTGACCATGCGGAGCGCATGGAGAAGCACTACAAGACCCTCCAGACTGCAGTCGGCTCCAACCTGGAGGACGATGAGTTCTTCAAGAAGTGCATCGGGAAAATTGAGAAGGAACAAAAGTGGTTCATCACCGCAGAGGCCCTGTTCTTTCAAAACTGTAGTATTGGTATGTATTAGTGATTTGTTGCTTCCCCTGTTTCGTGTTCAATAGCACAAGGTTCTTCTGGGGTCCATGTCAACGTGAGCTGTTGTTCCGGCAGGCAGCTGCCGACTCCATCCTTTCGGGCTTGAAGAGAGCTGCAAACAAGAAGAACAAAACCAAAGGCGGTGGGGCGTCAGCCAAAGCCAAGGGCAGAGCAAAGAAGGAGTGAGTTGAGAGCAAAAAAATCTGACACTATGGAGTTCCATAATATGTCCATGACAAATGCACAGCATTTGCAATCTCGGGGATTGGGCTTTGGGTCTTTGAACCAGCTTTGCGCCAGTGGCCATCTCGTTAACACTATGTTTTAAAGCCCTTTCCAAAAAAAAGATCTTAAGCTATCATTTCTTCCTGTCTCAATCCTCCATCAAGATCCCTGGCCTCATAGAGTGTAGAGCTGCAGACCGATGTCCAGTGGTCAAGCATCGAAGATCGCCTTGCCGGGGTGAAGTTCAGATACCATCCCGGGCTGACTTGCGAAAAAAGGTCAAATCACTGAGCTGGGTGTGTCAAGGGTGAATCAACCAGTGGCAACTGGCCTAGCTGCCTAGCTTTCGACTACGTATACAATCACTATAGTCTGATAACTAGATGAAAATAGGTGTTGCACACAGAATGTTCATCGTTCTTGAGTGTCTGCATTCTTGAATCTCGATAGATCTTGCCTTCGTGACTTGAAAGATCCATCCATTGCTTCTTCCAGGAGCTTTGAATTTGCTGGTGCCTCAACACGAGTCCAGGCGCCGCTTGGGGTTCATCGAGTTTGCCACTGAACCGAACCGAGCCCTTATTTGTGCGGCAGCATGCATTTGTTCGGAAGTGGACCCATTAAACAAAGAATGTTTTGTTTTGAATCACGTTGGAAGCCTTCAAAACGGTGCAAGATAGAGAATATGCTGCAAAGCTATACAGTGGAATGCTTACTAGATCTCGTGGGTCGTGGCCGCATTGACATCGCTTGCTGCACCGATGTGGCTAGGGCAATACTTCAGGATGGCATCCAACACGAGACTGTGTCAAAACTAGCCAGTCTTGGGGCCTTTGGCACATGCCAGTCAAATGCAGAAAGGGATTTGCACACTTGGATGAGCAATTTGTTTGGCCTGAAGTTGCAACCCTATGAAATCAATCTTCAGCTAAAAGTCACTTGGCATAGGATTCGATGTATAGAAGGGAGCTGACCCACGCCAAGCTGTTTTGGTTTGTCCCTTAACCTGCGTTGCCCGCCTATACCCCTACAGCTGCCCAGGTGAACGGCATCAAAGATGCGAGCGTTCCATGCTCTGTTCTCCTTCCCCATGAAGTGGTTCATTCCCTGGCTACTTGCGACGCAGACCTTCTTTTCGAAAGCCTCATGTTGGGTTGCCTTGGCCCCCAAGATATTCGAAACTTTTGGCTGCATGTTCGGGAGCTGGAACCATGGAAGGACCACCCTGACTTACAAGATGATTCGCAGGACTTCTCGCGACTCATAGGATTGCAGGTTCATGGCGATGGAGCTGAGTTATACAGGGATAGTGAATACTTTGTATACTCATGGAGCTCTGTCTTCTCTGGGTCCCAACAGTTAGAGACGGATGTCATGCTCAACCGCTTCCCTCTGCTGGTGGTGGCTGAGCGCCACATGCAACAAGAAAGCGTTCCTTGGTTCAACCACTATTGTGGCTTTTGATTTGGGGTTGCAAGTGCACCAAACCTATCACAGGGACGCCTTTTCCAAGTTCCGCCCACGGTCCTCGCCTTCCCTCGTGCCAAGACACTGCAGGTCAAGCAAGGCGTGAGCAAAGCAGTTGCGGAGATCCTTGCATGGAGCCTCGAGCATTCGTATAGTGGGAAAGCGCCGCTGGTGGGATTCTATGGGGAAGCGTTTCCCAAAAACACTTGGCGCCACCAAATGGCTGGACAAACCATGGCTTCTGGGTTTAGGCCAGGAGTAGTTGGGAAACCTTGTTTCACTTTCTTTGTTTGGGAAAACGTTGTTGGTGGTGAAGGGTTGTCAAAATCCCCCTGGAAGGGCAACATACTTCTGCTGGAAGTCGGACTTGAAGGCCCGCTATGAAGTTCACAACTTTCCCAGGTACTACCTGTGCACCATGTTTCCTGACCATCAATAATATCGCTTTTCTATTCTTTCAGTTATATCACTTTGCTATTCTTTCAATCGAATTTTCACATATCCTGTAATGAGGACATCCCTATAATTTATAAGGTCTGCTGGGCGCCAAGGCTCCTGGCAACTTAGGTTATGTGATATGTGCTTTGCACAAAAGCCTGCTAAGAATGCAAATCCTATGATGAACTTCAAGAATTTTTGTCGTGATCCACCTTACGCGTTGACCTGTTTGGATCACAACACATACATGGCCACCCATGTGCCTTCGCCGTGGAGTTGTGTTCGGGGCTGGACGTTGACGAACTGCATGTTCGACTTCATGCGCAACTGCTTCCTTGGATCGGCGCGAGTCTTCATAGCGTCATCTCTGAGGCTGTTGTTGGAGCATGGCTGTTTTGATTCCTACAATGTCGACAGGGAATCCAGTGCCATGTTTGCTTTCATCACGATGGAGATTCACAAAGCCTTTCGAGATGCAGAGTTTCGCGATCAAAGTCCAAGAGTGTTTTTATTCTCCAAAGCGCTAACTTTGGTTGATTTAAGTGCACCTTGCGCGCCGCTCCCAAGAAGTATTGTCCACTTATCCACCCACCTTTGAAAAGCTGAGGATTCGCTACCATGGTCCTGGGATCATCATGAGCCATTGCTTCCCTGGAAAGGACGAAGTTCCAATGTTGGGTTCTGTGTTCAAGGCGTCCCACAACAAAAGCTTGCGTTGGTGGTTGGCCTCGAGAACACGAGCTGCTGGCAATGACAAGCCAGCTGTGACCTAGGCTGATTAACAATTATGTCCAACGGTCCTCCCAAAAAGCTTCAACCCCACTATCGTTGCCGCAACCATGCTACAGCACCAGATTGGGTTGTAGATGATGTGTCAGGTCTCATTGTTGGGTGAACCGTTGGTATAAGTGTATATATATATATTTATAATATGTATAATTACAATATATATTTATAAAATAAGTCAACCCGGCCAATCCGACATCATGCAATGCGAGTGTGTCCCGCCAAGGATTCGATTCTCCAAACTGTGGCTTTCGCCGCATGGACACTCAACCGGGCGATCGAGATCTTTGATGGGGCAGGCATCTTGCTGAGCAAGAGGCAATCTCGCGAAGCCAGTGAGGCATTGCTGCAGCACTTGAGGGCATACCAATACCTTGGATGCCACCATGTGGTTGAAAGCGCTCCATACCTTTTTCGTGTGCTTCCGAAGTGTCTTTACATGTGGCACACAGCTATGCAAACACGTTCATGGCAATTGAACGCCTTTGTTTTCGATTGTTTCGCGCCAGAATCGTGGCTTGGAAAAATTAAAGCTGTCGCAAGACAGTGTCATGGTAAGACCATGACTGGTCGGGTCATGTCTCGGTATCTGATTTGCTTGGCGCTCTACCTTGAAAACCATAGACGCCGAGTGCAAGCTTTTAGGGGTTCATGAGGTCTGGCCACCTTGTTTCACGAACACCTCAAGTCCACTAGGGTCAACGCCCCCAAAAGAACCTGCTATGGTGACAGGCCTCATGAGGGGGGCATCTCAAGACAAGCGACTGAAAGCCAGCCGTTGTAGAGAAGGTGTTTCTATGAACAGGTTAAGCAAAGGGCCAACTGACCCTTGCCTACGTTTGTGTTCATTTTTCCTCATGTTTTTCTTAAAGGTTCCCGTGTGTGTGTGTGTTGATATATTATATATATAGTTACTTAAATGGCTCAAGCTCGGCTCGGCAACGCCAAGCTCAATTGCAGCGGTGCAAGCAGAACGGTCGGCGGTGCACATAGAACAACGGTAGCGGTGTCGCTCACATCGCAAAAAAGTACACGAGGAACCGTCGGCGGTGTTTTTAGGACAACGGTGGCGTTGTCGCTCGCGTCGCCTATTCCAGGAAAAATGTAAAAACTCACCCACCCAAAAAACTTTATGACAAAACATTGGTGTGTATATTATATGGTCACGCCATATATACACACTGCATGTGGCTATGCTGCCCTATAAATTTGCCACCGTGGCCGATGTCGTGTGCGTCTGCACTGCTGTGTGCTAATAACTGCTACCTCCATTCCTATAAATTTGC